ATCATGTCATTGTCTACCTGGTTTATACTATCATCAAAACAAGTCTCAATTTCACCTTTGAAAATCTGAGATTGGCATCTGCGCATCCCATTAACGTGAATAACATGTTCTTTCTTATTTTCCTCACTGGCAACCTTGTAAATGACATCTGATATTTTGCAAACGACTTTAAATGGACTTTGCCAAAAACTCATTAGTTTTGCTGACTTGCCTACTTTCTTTTGTGGGAAAAATACATAGACCAAATCTCCCTCCTCATAAATATTCCACTTTAGTTTCAGGTCATGGTAGTGTTTTTGCCTTAACATTGCCCCCTCTAAGTTTTCTCTCGCTAAGTTATGAGCTGACACCAACTTCTCTCTAAGTTCCCAGGCCCACTGACTTTGCAAAACCGGTTGAGACTCGTTAGGGAGATCATAGAACAAGTCAACCCGAGTGGAAACCTCTCTACCTAACATAAGCATATTTGGTGTAAATCCTGTGCTTTCCTGTTCTGTTGACCGATACGCCATCATCACGTAAGGTATATAAATATCCCAGTCGTCCTGGCACTCATCAACGTAAGCCCAAAGCATGCTTGCAAGAGTTCGATTAAACCTTTCCACCATACCATCCGACTTCGGATGATATGGCGTAGTTCTCGTTTTCTTGATACCAAGCAAAAGACACATCTCATGAAAGAGTTTGCTTTCATACTGTCGCCCTTGGTCTGAGTGTATGACGTTTGGTACACCAAAGCGAACGATTACTTCCTCCACGATGAACGCAGCCACTGTACTGGCCTCCATGTTCGGCATGGCAAAAACTTCTGTCCATTTCGAGAAGTAATCACTGACTACCAGAATATATCGGTTCCAATCTTTTGTTTCTGGCAATGGTCCGAGTATGTCAGTAGCCAGTCTTTCCATAGGGTAACCTGTTGGTTCCATTTTCATAGGCGCCATTCGCTTTGCACATTCCTTCCTACAAACACAATGCTTGCACCCAGCAATGTACTGTCTCACGTCTCTTTGCAACCCAGGCCAATAGAACTTCTGTCTCACCCGACTTAGGGTTTTATGCACTCCTAGATGCCCACTGGTTCTTGTATCATGGCACATATGTAGAATGGTTCGCCTTTCCTCATAAGGTACTTCTACTTGACACTTTCGTTGCTTTGATGGGTTTACCCAACGTCTGCACAGTAAACCATTGTCAATAGTCAATTGATCCCATTGTGCCACAAGAGATTTTACCACATTGCTCTTTGGCTTTACCAAATCAGGGTTTGGTTTTTTGCCGCTTTTTACCCATTCAGCAACTAATGTCAGATCTCTATCACCATCCTGCTTCTCCTTCAATTCGTTTGCTTCCTCAATTTGGTTGCCTTTGTCAACTTTTGGTTTATCTTTTTTCTTGATGGCTCGTACAGTACGTTGTCCCTCCTACTGATCACAATCCCAAGCTTCATAGAAGCCACACTGGTGACACGGAATCCTACTCAAAGCATCTGCGTTTCGGTGCATCTTCCCTGCTCTGTGCTGGATCTCTATGTCGTATGTTGAAATGACCTCGATCCAACGAGCTAGGTGTCCTTCGGGCTCTTTGAATCTCATTAGCCACTTGAGTGCACTATGGTCAGTTCTCACGACACAATGATGTTTGTAAAGATAAGGCCGATATTGCGTGACACAATACACCATCGCCAGTAACTCTTTACGGGTTACGCAGTATTTCCTTTCGGATTTTGTCAGTGCCCTGCTGCTATAGGATATCACGTATTCCTTGCCCCCAACACACTGAGACAGGACTCCACCAAGGACCGGCGGCCTAACCTCCATTATCGGGCTGAAATGCAACCGATAAAGTCTTCTTACCCTTTTGAGATGATTTCCATTGACTTTGTACATCTTGAGCGATCCAAGGGTGGCCATGAATACATTCTCGTATTGGTCGACCACTTTACCTGATTTGCGCAAGCGTATCCGACGAAGAACAAATTAGCAAGGACAGCGGCTGATCGTCTCTTTAATGACTTCATACCAAGGTTTGGTTTCACTGAGAAGATTCACCATGATCAAGGGGGCGAGTTCGAAAATGAGTTGTTTGCTCAGCTTCAGCGTAGTTGTGGAATTGTTCACTCGAGGACCAAACCCTATCACCCCGCTGGGAATGGGCAGTGTGAGAGGCTGAATAGGACAATATTGGAAATGTTACGAACTCTTGCCAAGGATGCCAAAGCGGAAGAGTCACATCAACAAGGTTGTGAATGCATATAATTGCACTACTAATGAGACCACGGGGTTCGCACCGTTTTTCTTGTTATTTGGGAGATCTCCACGACTTCCGATAGACATAGCTTTCGGTATTCACTTGGACAAGGAGATGAAGGATGTGAACAAGTGGACATCAGCTATGCACGAAGCCTATACTCTTGCACAGCAGAGAGCTCAGAAGTCCTCATCCCTCGCAAAGAGGCGGTACGACAAGGGGTTCAAGAGTGCTGTTCTAGAACCAGGAGATCGTGTTTTGGTGAGGAACCTCTCTCAGCGAGGAGGATCAGGGAAGTTAAGATCATACTGGGAGGACAATATTCACAAAGTATGTCGGAGGATGTCACCGGATTCACCAGTGTATGAGGTTGAGGCAGAGAATGGAATGGGTAGGAAATGGGTACTGCATCGTAACCTGCTTTTCCAATGTGATTACTTGCCAGTGGAAAGCAAGCGAGTGGATCCTCCAAAGCGAAAGTTGACAAAAACAGAACACAACACCCGAACAGGTAGGATAATTTGGGCCGGAGGTCACCAGTCACTGGGAGGGTGGAGTCTTCGTCATCGGATACAGGAGATCTTGTGATCCAGCGACAAGGTCTTGAGGATTCGGAAGATGATGTTGGCGTTCATCACAGTGTGGGATCTGGTGTCTTGAATCCTTTGGCGGAGGATTTCCGTCCCAGTGGCTCTGGAACAGATGGTTTAGGAGGGAGCAACCTATCGGTGAACGAAGTTCGGGAGGTTCAACAGAGTCGGGTGGCTTAGCAGAGTTGGATGGTCCAACAGGGTTGGATAAGGATTACGAGACGCCCTCGGAAGGGGAATCGGATGTCAGGCCTCGGCGTCAAACGAGACCTCCTCAGATGTTGACATACGATGTCATAGGAAACCCTTCTTCTATTCCCAGAGTTCAGACAGTCTACGGTTTACCATATGGAACATCTAGGTACCTTACCTATTCAGGACTTAGAAATGATTGGTTTCTACAGTAAGGTGCTAGATATGTGATATTGCTAGAGATGTTTTGTTCATTGGTTCTAGGAAGGTTGCATATTCTTTCTTATTGATCTCACTTTATGCGATTGTATGTAAGCTTGCTGCCTCTAGCCTAATCAGTTGACGTATGCTTTGACCCAACACTTGAGAGGACTGTACAGCTTCTCTGTGATACTGACATCCAGACCAATGGAAAGTAGGTCTTTAGTTTGTCTGTAGGCACTTCTAGGGTTCTAGAGCCTCGGGATTTGGAATATCCTGCTTGTTCAACCAGTGATAGATAACTTGTGCAAGATGTCGAGGGCGACCTCTCTTTTAGAGGGGGAGTGTGTTACATGTTGATTCCATGCGTAGCGCCAGTTCGTTACCAAGTTCTATCTTGGACTCAGTAACTGTTTAACAAATAGTAAAATGCCCACAATATATATACAAAATACTGGTTGTCTACCTGACTCAAATAATGATATAAACTATACGAATTCAATAACTATGGAAATCCTAGTTTGTATTTAGTATGTAGAGTTCAGGGATACAGTATTTTGTTAGTATTCAAAAGGATTTAACAACGTAGGGTTTGTGTATTGGGTCGAGGACATTGATTTTGTATGGAAGCCCTGTAGTACCACATAGACAGTATTTGGTATTGACTCTTGTATGGAAACTCTGTAGTACCGGATGGAGAATAATGTTGTTTTAGTTCAATGCAATATAGATTTACTAGTCAGTTAAATTCGTATTAATAATAGTGTTAATTAATTTGATAATTGTAATTAATTAAAGGAATTATAATTATGATAAACTATAAGTAATAAATGACATAATGTTTATTGGTAATCAATTATAGTGTACAGTGTTGACAAGTGTCATCGAGATTGTGATATTATTCGATAGAATAAAGGTCATGTGTTGCAATTGATTGATTTATAGTCAAATTAGTCATATAAATGTGAGTTATTCAGGGTCTAGTCAATATTACAGAAATATGAATTCTAATCAATTTGTTCGAATATAAGTTGAGTTACTATTTTATACAATCTTGATCTGATAGAGTGTGTATGAGATTTATGCTCATGTGACAACTTGTCACATGGCATGATTTGAGTGACAGATTTGTTCAATGTGTTCAACAAGCCAAGAATGAATTATCATTGTTTATGTTTTGAATTATCTGCCAGTTGGAATAAATGTAACAACGCTGACTGAATGTCGCTCGCCTTGTTCTTTACAGAACTCGTCAGCTCAGCCTGGCTGGGTACAAGGTTACGGTAACCGTGGTAACATGTACTGTGCACTGAACTATACTTGCAAGTCAAATATTTGGAAAAGGATGATGAGAGTTTGACTTATAAGTTATAGAATTAAGATTCTGGGAACTATTATTGCCAAAATAGTAAGCAGATTTTATATTGGCACGTATCTCCAAATACATGTAGGTGCTATAGGCAAGTGCATTTTTGAAACCACGTGTATTAATTTATTATTTAATGCGGCTGGGGAGTTTCTAATGACAGCTGCCAAGTTCCGCCTCTCAATGATAAGAATCCGTATGGATATCAAACAAGGTCTTCCTCAAGTAATCCCCAGTGGTCGATTCTCGTTACTACGTGATCTATTTATAGAATGTCTGTTTTAGGGTGATGTTCATTGATTGTCTAGGTCAGCAAGCACGCGAATGATTGCTCCTTGTAGTGTTATGTGTTTTAACGTTTGGATAAAAGGGACAAGACGATATTTTACAATTTGTCGCTATAGCGTGTAATATAGGCAGACTTACACTTGTGTTGTACATGTGCTGTATGACTGAAGGGAGAATTTAGTTGCTACGTGTCAGCATGGAATGGAGAGCGAGTCCTAGAAACTCAACGTTTGAAATGGGTGTCTGACTCGGAATGGAAATATGGTTATTTTCGCGTTGAAGAAAAACCCATCTCGGTTTTTGTTCATCAGTTTTTCGTGTATAATCATCTGTGGATTTGTCAGGTAAGAAATTTTATACATTATCCATAGCTTGTATCTTTTATCTTTATGCTGAGGCTAAGGAAAAACAATGCCCCTCTTTAAAGTGACTGTGATTATCATCTCTTGAATCAATACATGTAATGTGTTTCGAACACGTGCAAGACATGGACAACAAAAACTCGTAACATACAGTTCAGAGAGATGCAGGTTGATGGAATTTATGGGGAAGTTTAACATGTACTGGAACACGAGCAAATCTTGGTATACATAGCCAAATCCGCCTTTATAGTCGGATTTGTCGTTACACCAGTACCTCTCTTACAGTAGTCATAATGATCTCATGCGAGAAATACTCTATTTCTGTTTGGGCGATTTGAAGCTGGACATGTCTTATGCTCATTAGTGTATCTCGTTGGTGCTTTATTTTGTACATTGTCGTCATATGGGAACGTGACATTACGTTTTTTGATTGACCAAATTATACATGGCGAGTGTCATCGATGAAGCAGAAGATCTGGATCATATTGTCTTATTCAACTTATGGTTTTGCAGGAGTCTCCGTGTAAATCTCTCTTTTGCTCATATTTCACTTCAGTCTCATCCATTTTGCGTTTGAATTATGATTCCGTTGACATGCCGGTATTATATCTGTTGTTCGAAAAACTGAAAACGTGCCAAAGTCGAAGCAGATTATTTCAGAGAGCTGCCACGCAGACATTTGGAAGTTAGCAAATGTCAACACCTTTTAAACTTACCTTGATTACCAGTTAATGGCCGTAATTCTAATATTGCTTGTCATTTGGGTATGTACACGAAATGTTATTTAAGTTTAAATGAATTTAGAATTGAATCTTATTTTCTTTAATGTAAAAGAACACATCTCTCCGAATGGCGATTGTTGTGCACATTTTCAAATGATGATATGATACCAAAATCTTTATTAAAAACTTATCTATTAAAAATGTAGTTTCAACGATTGCCGTCAGTTCTGTCAAGCCTTATTTTATACTGAGCTGCATTCAATACACAGAGGAACCAAATTAAAGGGTTTTTTTTATATACATGTACTTATCAATATCATGCTAGCATAAAAAGCTGTGTAGATAATGGTGGAAGTTAAAGAGTCAATATCCTAAATCTCTTTCAGTTATAATGGTACAAGTTTCATAAATAAATGTAGCCAATTTCCATATCCCAAACACGAATATCATGCAACGGTTAGGTTTTTATTTAATTATTAATTTTGTTTCAGATTTGTGTCTCTGTGGTATAGCTTAAAAACAACGACTGGACCCTCGTATCTTTTTAGTAAAACTACAGACAAGAAATTTGTCGAGAAATTGAAAACAGACACTCTTCCCAATAGCACATATAGCAAGATAAGTTTCATCGATCGGAAACACGCTTTTACGGTCGGAGAAGTGTTGACGGTAAAAATAACACTGTTCAATTCCATGGGAATCAGAATTCGGCGAGGAGGTGACATGCTCAGAATCATTTTGAAGGAAACCAAACTTGCTGCTAACGTGAATGGAAACATAACTGATAATGGGGACGGAACTTACATAGGAACAGTTTTGTTACCATGGCGAGGAGAACCACAACTGGTCGTGTACTTGTCCTTACCGCGTCAAGTCCATGAGATAGTGGTCAACGCAGCCAATAGATATGGCATCATGCGACATATCATGGGAATATTTAAAAAATATAAAAACATATCAGAAACAACACCGTGTGGCCCACTTCCGGTGATACAGGGATTTAAAAATCTTTATAACCTTACAGAAATGGCCTATAATATGCCCTGGTACTGTGTGAAGCCAAAGTCTGATGAATTGACGGACAAACACTGGAAATATTCTGTAACTGCTGCTAATTTTACGTTACCTCTCAACGTGACACGTGTATTATTGTGAGTATACACAACACACTAATTAGACAGTGTACCTCGAACACTTATGCTTGTGTTTCCTAAGAGTATTAAACATGAAACTCCTTGATATATCTCAGATCATAGAGGTTAAATGCGATTTGTACTTTGTTGTTTTGTCGGGATAAAAGTCACACGAAAACTGGGTCAATGACCTTCAAAATGCAGTCAATTACAACCATATTTATAGAACTACAAGGCTGAGAGCGATTATGATTAAGTATATAATAAACAAGGACAAATTATGAGAGACTAAATAATGATCTTGATCGAGCACGATTTGTAAATAGCCTATACAGTCACCATGGGAATTTTTGTCATCTTAAATTCGTTCATGTAAGATATTTTTTCCCAAAACGTGTATGAATTTGGATTTAGCATAAATCAATTATCGAGGGTTTACCGTATACTTACATGTCAAATCAAATAAGCACTTGCAAATGTACATTTAAATTGGAAAATTAAATGTCAAATAGGCGTTGTAACACTGGTAATCATTTTTACTGCATATATTCTATCCCATATTTTGTCATTTGTGATTGTGTGTAAGTAAAAAAAGTGGATACTTTATAATGTATACTACATACCCCTACGGCAAATGTTTTGGTAATGAATATTGATAATTTGAACTCTACAACTATTTCTATGCTATATTTTTCATTTTCAGAGCCCATCAACACAAGCCACTTTTGAAGCGGATTGTTCTGAAAGTAGACGGAGGTAATGTGTCTTGTAAAGGTCATCAAATGGGTGACTGTTCAACTCGTCAGTGACCTCCTCTTATGTATTTCTTTATTTATTCCCCTTTTACATTTCTTTATTTATATAATTTTTGTGATATATACGTTTATCATCGCCAGGCTAACCAACAGAAAAAATATCTCAGATTTTAGAAATAGATATCATGTGATACCTAGTTAGCCATCCATCTGCTGACTGTTCAAATCTACCTGCATCTGTGGTTCGTCACCCGTCCAAACCTGAATTAATCTTCTCAAATATGTCCTTGGTCTATAGTGGTGCCCTTTTAATTTTGAGACTGATCAGAAAAGTGACAGACAGCCATATCGGATGTTTGTTATCGCTATCTTCTGAGAGGTACAAACTTTTCCCTTTTCAAATTTTATGTGAAGTGTCCCCTGGTACCGTTTACAGTTATGCCCATTTGATTTTGGGAGTGATGGAAATGGTTGACTAGCTGCCATATTGGGTTTTGGCTTTGCACGTAGATTGATATTACTCTTTCTTGAGAAATACTGGATGGAACTTTTCCATATTCTATATATATCTGTAGTTATTTGTAGTTCTGCAAAGATGCTAATTTTATTTGTTGGTTCTCTTTTTCCCAAGTTGTGTTTTGATATTGGGATTGATTACAAAACAAGAGGACCGACAGGCGATTATCTTGGATTTAGCAGTTAAAGATTATTATCGCTATTTCAAATTCCATTCAATAAAAATAATTTTAAACAATAGAGATCAAACAATGGTTTGCGCCAGGATCCCTCAATGTTTTTTTCGTTATGCATTTCGATAACGAAACCGATTTGAAAACCAATACAGTCTACAGAATTTTTGAACCATTAAATTTAGTTACATCGTTATTTTTCAGGTAGTAATGGAATGATTCATAAGTCAGATTTCCTTTTCTTAGTCATGTACGTCTCAAGAAATGATAAGACATTTTTCTCAACTTTCATTAGTAGGTTAAACTGATCAGTGCTTTTTCAGTTCTGCTTAGTTCTTCATTCTTAAAAAAAATATTTAGGGTCCCCCATTGTCCTTATTTTTGAGGACGTTGGAAAACAAGTTAGCAAATTGGTCTCCAAAATCAATTTGAACACTTCTAGACTGTCAGAAATACTCATCATGGCAAGACACACTGTATGAGTTTTTCTAAAATTCAGATTACATTCTTGTTGGTTTCGGAAAGTTATTTACAGAACAACCTTAAAACCATTTTTAAATGGAACATTTGCAATTTACTTTTCCGAATGTACTTGATGGATGTTTCTCAAATTAAATGTGCAGATTTGATTTGTTTTGTTCAGTGACGTTACCGTATGGTTAAAAAATTGCCTTTAAATACAACAAATAGCTACGAACATAAACAGTAGATCTAACTTCTATAGAACTAATGAATGTTACAATGATTAGCGCCGAAATACCTCCAAGAATTCTTTTTAATTAGGTAAGAGAACTGAAGAATGTATGGTAAAAAAAGATTTAGCAATGCAAACGTGCTATTAATCTTGACCTAAGTAGAATAAAATCTACTCTGCTTTTCCAAGCATAATATCAATCAGAAAACAGCCCAGTATGTCTTACTGCGATCATGTTATAGCTTAGTGATTAATGCAGTGATAGAGAGTGTTTGTTTTGAATGAAATAATGTCCGGCTATGAATGTAGCAATATCAAAAATATTGAATAATTTGGAACTTTATCATTCTTTATTTGAGCAGAAAAGACAATGGAAACAAGTCGCAGTCCATGCCATAAACTCGCCCCTGAGAAGACCTGGGAAGTTGGAACTTCGGGCTTCTACTATAACAATACATGGGTGAATATCAACTGTAGACATCAATACAAACAGACCCCAAATCAGTACGCCGAGTGTCTGCAAGGTCGCCATCTTTTGCTTATAGGAGACTCCAATATAAGGTCATATATAGAATTCTTTACGAAGTTTCTCCGTCTGAAAGTTACCATAGGAAACCCCATGGAAAACGCACCAGGCGTGGTGTTAGGTCACAACAGAGCCCGATCGATATCCGTCACGTGGAGATCACACGGTGTGCCGTATTTTGCAGCCTTTCCTTATAGTAATCGCTTGCTCATTCCTACCTCATTGATCCTGGACCGTCTTAACGTGCGTAGTGACAGTAGAACTATAGTCGTCATTCATTTGTGGACACACTTTCTCACCATCCCAATTCATGTGGTGGAGGAAAGAATTCGCGATGTTAGGAAAGCGATCGAACGACTCCTAGCCAGGGCACCCTATGTTACTGTAGTAATCAAGGGTCCACAATCCCACTTGGAAAACCAAATATTTTTGCAAGTGGACTTCAAAAGAGTCAGTTTTGAACGCATATGGCGAAACGAATTTCAATATCTGAAAAATAGAGTGATATACCTAAATTACTGGGACATTACTACAGGAAGTGAAAGTAAACAATTACATCCGGGCCCAAAGATACTAGATGACATGGTCAGCATATTCATCAACCATGTATGTAACGTATGATGATAAGTGAACCCATAGATTACCTCTTGATTACAACAGCGGTGGCAAAGTCATTACATGTTCTAGATCAACCACTTGGAATTCCAGATTTGTTTCGGTATTTTCTAATCACCTTTCCTTCCTAGTTGACGTAGAGCAAGTGTAAAAACATACATATTTTTTATCCTACCTTTTTTCTGGCTGGACAAAACCGTACGCTACATATATACATAGTGTATCTATTCTAAGTCGGAATACTAGCTAAAGTTTACTCACCGTTGTGACGTCTTTCCAGTTTGTCAATATAAGAAGTGTCAAATAGAATATGCGAATAAGAACCCAAATCAAACCAAAGGAACTTTCAAACCCATACACTTGCAAACAAACCCACTTGATGTTTTTAAATTCTAAGTGTAAGATTTTCCCTTCAGATAAAAAAAAACAGAACCAGACTCTGCGACAGCTCAGTGGATATAATGCAGTATCAGGGTTGTGTTTCTATGAAAATCCGATCACAAACTTATCTGTGATGTCGTCATTGTTTCCTTAGTAAGACAATTCATTCCAATTATTTTGATAACATACTGCAGGCTTCACATTTGTTTTTCAGTGAGGTAATTTCTAGCTCCTACATAAGGTTCTGTTTTAGGGATATAAAACCGGTGTAAACAGATACAAACAAAACAAAAAAGCTAATCGGTTCTTTGAACTTGTAATATTGGCGAAATATGAGTATCCTATACAAGTTATCAGTTTTCATGTGATTAATATGCAATTGCTTAGAACATTTTTAAGATGTCTATTCCGGTGAATTTACGCAGACTATATATATATATATATTTACCATTAACAGCAATAAGATTTGTCTTCATGTTGTTATTGATTTTTGTCGTTGTTAAATGTTTATTCAAGATCGATATTATTTTCTGAAAATGAGACCTTTACTAATGAATTCCACATTGTTATTACTACTTCAGCAGAAGATATACCTTGATATTTACCATTTGATATACATGTTTATACTATCAACGTTCCCAATAGATAGACTAATTTTTTCGTATACATCCATGGCTACATTTTTCTATTTCCATATTTTGTCACTTTTACAGATTGCCATGTAAATAAATTTTACTTATATTCGTGTGGGTTTGGTTATTTGCAGTATCTTAAGTTCGTTCAAACAGTCATGACCAATGAACAAGTTACGAATATTATCAGATGATATGCTTTTTCAGTCCTTTTGTTTCCCACAATGACTCAAGCTGGCCTTGTTGGAAGTCAGTCACTTCTAATGATTAAGCGCTCATAACATGTTTAGAACATCGGGGTGACTTTTTTCCTCTAACACTTGGTGTAGAGCACCATTGCATGATGGAGCTCCTGTCGTCCAGTGTAAAGAGAGGACGAGGACGGAAGAGGGAAGGTTCCAACAAAGGAAGGCAAACTTAGTATTCAAAATATTTTGTATAAAAAAGAAATAATCAAATGTGCCGATGTAGTTAGCACGTTTACAGATAGAGCGCGATGTCGCCCATGCTGGACCGTTTTCGTGACGTGATATCTCGAGTAAAAAGCCGACGTATGGTATCGTCTTGAATATAATTCAATGTATTTTTGTAGAGCTTTGATTTTAAAGAACATTTTTATAGTTTTATAGAGTATTGGTTTAAATGGATAACCATTATCGAAATTCAATATATTGAAAACATGTTCAACTTTTCAAACTGCAATCGAAATTCCATATGAATAACTCGTTTGGTGTATTGAACATTAACGGGGCCCCTAGTCGGCTACCCGGATTTAACGAAACTGGAAAACAAATGTGATGGGTCAGAGCCAAATGTGCTAATAAGAACCTCAACGATAGATAATACATGTAGGTTTAGTTGTCTGTTTGTCGTATAGGTGAAATGACTGAAAATTGAAGACGTCCTGATGTCGGCCCTGGATATGTAGTGCGGACATTACTAAAATGAATAAGCATCGCAGAGAAAAATATATTGACATAAGTATGTGTTTGAAAGGCTTTTAAATAATCAACTTAGAGCATGGCGTTTTGCATTTTGCAATTTTGACCTTAAACGGCCGATGATCATAAATGAAAAAAAAATGAATACCTGTAATTATTATTTGTCTTCTGTAGTACAATAAATCGTATCGTTATCAGCGAAATGTTAGTTATATCAACGAAAACATGTTTCAAGAACAATGATTTTATCTTTACCGAGTCGTAAAGCAGCTCCTTCCAACAGTTCATCAATCGGATCCCTTATCAAATTTTAACAGAGTAACCATTAACTGCAGTTCCTTCAGAGTTCATTCACGACAATATCAGAATATCTTTACACTATCAAGAAAGTGAAAAATAGGGAAACATCTGTCACATTGATATATACAAAGATAGTGTTTAATACAGTCAAATGTATTCAGAAAAGTACTTGTAACCTCATTATACCAATTGTATCATAAAATTAAGTCCACCGTGTGTAACACTCATAACTTTAAAGTATAGGGGCAAAATATCTTCTGCCTGACAAAAGTTTTACTTTGGTCTGCAAGAATCTGATCATTTTCTTTTGATCTAAATACGTTTATCTTGTACAATATATAGTTATCTCCCATAACTGTATATTATACATCATTAAAACATGCATCCATCCATTTTTAATATAAGTTGTAGATAATTTTGTTGAATATAGATTAGATATATCGATGTATTGCGTTAGTGATGACTTATGTGGTAACGAACATGAAATATCCTAAAGACGCAAGAACAGCGAAAACCATGAAAGCAATGAAGTAGAATCTGTAAATTTTGCGATCGTATTCCACGTGATATTTCCTACTTGTGACACTTATGGATTCCACTGAAATGATCAATAATGGTTAATCAGGTAATCTCCGGAATCCAAATCTTCTTGTCTGAAAATGTAAGAGATGTGGTATTGTTATGACTACTAGAATTCCATATAAGACTTTCATCTTTCCAAGAAAGAAACAAGTCACTTCATTAAAATCATTAATAGACAAAAGGGACATGCCGACGTCAATGGATACTGACTTTGTCTGGTCCTTTACTGGCCGAACTTCACTGGAATAGTTCACCATCAGATCTGCCAACAGTGTTTTAACATCCTCCATATAATTAGCTGTGATGGTCTGTAGACAGATCGCTGTGAATATGATGTAAGGTACTCGGCACATGTCTCTAATGACCATTTTCTCACACAATAAATTAAGAATCACAAAATTTCACCTTGTCAACAGAGATCTCGAATTTTGCTGATCGCATCAGTTAAAAAAAATAATGATTTACAGCTCTGTCTCAACACATGGTACTTGTTTAGTATTAACGCTTGGCAAAAGAAGGTATCGGACCATCACACATAAACCTGTTCTTCCAGAAATACGACCGTCACAGACAAAATGTCACCGGTCGTACGATGTAAATGTGTATCTGTTAAAGTCCGAATTGATTACAGCCAGGTATCTTTTGAGTAAACTACATCTGAAATCCACAATTAAGGACTACAATGCATATATTAACCTCTTAGTATCAGAATACCAAAGCAGATGTGTTTAATTACCTTTGACTGATGGTATACGCTATACGTTTTCCTTAGTGGTTTAAAATGTACAGATCCTAAACGACTGATATTAATTATTAATCACACTGGGCGATTGTCCATTCTGTTACCTTTACTAACTGGTTCAGCATATGGGACGGAATGCATCACCTATAACTCACACGGTACATATCTCACACTAATTATCTCCCTTACAGTCAATTACATTAACAAATGGTTGGTATGTTTAAACAGCCTATCAGCAAATGTAGTTTTTTCAAAGGTGGCCATTCTGCAGTACTGTTTCACTACCGAGTATGTAATTTCGAACGCACCTGGTGCCAATAAGCATGAAATCCCATCCGGTTAGTAATACTTTTGACAGAGAGTGTCCAGTACAATTTCTAATCATATATTGAGTATTTAACACAGCGTCCTTCACATTCCTCACGGGAGTGACCGATCAACTATAAGGCCAAAGTGAGGTAATAAATGCAGAGTATAAATAAAAGCCATTAACAGAAATATCAATGGAAGCTTATTCGGCACTTATGACCATGTCATGTGGAGTAATCGCACATTCTTACACCTTACTGGTCGGGACATTGGAAACCAGTTCACGTTTCCATTATCTAAGTTATACTATCTAAATAAGAAAAGGTTACGTTAGGTTCATACAAGTTGTCTCCCTTAATGTTCCAGACGACGTAAGAAAGACAACTCGCTTTTCTGGATTGTTCTAAAGTCGTTTACAAGGCCTGTACCGCCATACGGATGTATTATTGTACTGTGTTTTATGCACTGAATATTTTCAATGTAATTTAAAACAAGATTGAATGTACCTTTTTAAGATATTTTCGACGATGACGTAAAGAAGTGAAAAAAATGTCAACCTTCGACTGCTACACAAAAGATATCATGATAAATCTTCAATAAAAGATATCAGTTTGGTACTCGGCGATTTCTGATGAGAAATGATTTTTTTAACAAAGTTATACACTCATTTCCTGACACTTACTCACATTCTAACCGTCTAATAGTTCTTGAATAATTCTGAACACATCCTATGTACTGTCCATTTCACTGTCCTACGCTCGGGCAAGGAAATTGAATTTTAAACTTTTCGTGTTTACGTATAAGGTTTCATCAAACATCGTCTTGCAAACATTGCGGAAAATTGTGGAGCACACCGTACAAATGCGCTGACCAATTAAATGGTGTTACTACTAAATTCCCAACAGTATTGTTTTTATCTAATATCGATTCATCATTTCATAAAAAAAACATAAAATCTTCCACTTACCGAAAACTAAATTTTTATTGATAATATGTACATGTTGATAGTGCAAACTCATGCAATGCGCAAAACGATTGACAGGTTCAAAGTTGTTTATAAAATTCCATAATTCTATATTGCTGTTAGTCATTGTTGTATATCTTTCATTATTCCTTTGGAAATGTAAAAAATATACACTAAACAATGCAAGGTTAAGCTGCTTATGTTTTGATGAATAGATTATTTCTTTTATAAATCTATGTCATGTAGGTATAAAGTAATTTATCAATGCTGTCTTGGTTAACTGCAAAACAAAGGACGTTAGGATCAATATCAAGTAAGAAAATGGGTATGACCACTCTAAGGCAAGGCGAAGCAAACACTGTTGCAGTTTCGTCGTATATAAATCGTGAACAGGCGGGTGATTCGAAGAGAAATATTTCATTCACCATTTCAAGACTTGATTCAGCTCTTACTAGCATGACGGCTAATTTTGACGTTCTCTCACGCACTGCTCTGAGCAGGAAAGCCCCGATATCGAATGCCGGTTAACCTGCCATTAACCACACGTCTGATACAATTCCTCACACAAATACCGGCCAAAAACCATTACATTTCTGCCGCCAATGCAGACCCGTTCTGCGACACAGCAGTTCGCAAAAAGCTCCTCTCGTTGCCCACACACTGCGTAACTGTTGCAGGCAAAATCAGATGTCATCCAATCTATATCATACCCTTGTTTTAAAAAAAACATGTGTCAGTTTGATTTTTTATGTCTTAGAAAGCCACATGAAACTCTTCCGTAATATGTACTTTCACACTGAATGTTGCAGTGTAAAATGCTGCATATTTTGACTCATTTACAGGTTTTGATAATGAAAACATGCTTGCCTTTCTGCTTTGATGAGTACATATACGTATGTGTGCATATACATGTATGTATATCAAAACAAAGTGGCTATATTGATAAATTTTGGATAAAGATGTAAAAATATGAAGTATTAACATTTGTGTTTTAAAACAATTCTACATGTGTATTGTGAAATGGAGTATTTGTTTAGATTCATAAGGGGGTATTGTTATTATCGATATTAGTATTTTGTATTCTTAGCCAAATAAATGCACTGCAGAAAAAAATCTGTATAGTAGATTACATTTATTCTACAAAATGTCGTCTAGGTTTCCAAAGATAAAATTGATGGGACCTTTATCGTGTACTCCGTAATGTGTATCAGACAGTTATCAGTACTATCGACAACATAGACACGAATGTTCCGCCGTCTTCATTGCTTTAACACATATCTTTCATGAGACGCTATCCATTTCTCGTTTTTATAATGGCGGGATGAGATAAATAATACATGACTTTATTTCAATTAACTTTTTACCATATAAACGTTAGCCATTTTGTAGTGCCGGATATCAGAATAAATCACGTGATTCCCCACCTCGATATAAACCAATCAGACAGACGTTTGATAAACGGCATCCAGCACGTTACCATTACAGATTTGTTATTGTAGACATATTGCGACTTCTGACTATCAAAATGGCGGTTCTTCTAGACGGATAACACTTTCGATAATGAATGTCTGTCTTTTTTTTTTTTTTTTTTTTTATGCTTTCCATAAATCACATTTTTTCTCCATAAGTATAAGAAATGAACTGGCATAACGTGGAATCTATAGGGGCAACAAAAGACACAACTTTGCCGAAAAACACACTATATTTCGCCAGCACACAATTTAATATTTACCTGAAAGTAAACATTTCATCGACCATGAATGTCGTATCATGACACTTCGATAAAACTTAACTGTATTAAATGACACTGATAGTTTTATGTAGAAGTTGGTGTATTACAGTTAACCTGTGGCATATATAACCTCTGCATTACACAACTCTCAAGTATAATCGGTTAGAAATGGATTAGGATTGTAATCCTCGATGAATACCTGGGTTCAATACACATTGATCTTACACAAACACTGGATTAATGTTCTTCTGAAAACAAAGCAAATCCGCTTTTCTGACGCCACTACATTCTACCTGGAGTGGATAATCGGACGAGGAGACAGCATGCGATGTTTTGCTCGCGTGAGGGATAAACTGACTTTGTCTTGGCAGATTAACCGGCCTTCATGTGTTATTTACAACATGTTGTGTACACAGAGACAGACTCATCGATTTGATTATCAATACAAATACATTTATTGGAAAGTCCTCAACAACGAAATAATGCTACGTATGTACAAACCAAAGGATTACCAAACACGGGAGACTTTGTAAAATGTTAACACACAATACAATACGTATAGATATGAAGCCAAATTTACTTTTAATATTGAATTGAATTACCTGTGAGAAGACTTGGATTTTAAAGTTACTTGGAGGCACTTTGGCTATTAGAAATAAATATTTCTGGAGTTACAATGTCCTTTCTATCATAAAACAAGACTTATCTTCAGTATATAGTTATAAACATGTACTTTGATTTGGATCTCCAAGAAGACATTGTCAGAAGACCCCGATGGAAATGTCTAAGATTGGAGCGTGCTAAATTCCATAACATAGATGCATTTATCGCCTATCTTAGAAAAATATAATTTAACAATTAGATCCGCTGATGTATTAAGATTACCGAAATCCGAGGTAAAAGTAGATGATCAATATTTCCTTGTGTCTATCGATAATTATTGGTGTCCGATAACACAGTACGTATTATCGGGTGTATGGTAAAGACAATGAACATATATGCTCACATAACATATGTTTTCAATAAATAAATATATTAAAATACAGTTGGTGTGTAAAAAGCACTATTTAAAGCAGTGCTCAAGCTTTTGTACAAACAACATCAGACCGTGTAGCAGGACACACAGCACAAACGTAGAGATGACCTTATCGAGACATATAGTGTGATGAAAGTGACACCAGCTTATTTCGAACAAGCTGGATTTGAATTATCCAAGAGATAAATTAATGACCCATTGCTTAAATATTGGTATAAGCTGACTACCTGGAACCAGTGTTCGTCATAATGACTGCCTTTTTTCTAAATATTAAAGAAAACACTTAGTCTGAGACTTCAAAAATTTGATTTTGCTGAAAACACAACAATCGACACATTTTTGAAATCCCCGAATCAAGAGAGTTTGAACCCGATTCTTTGATTGTGTTAATTAGCTTCCACTGGTAATTCTGAGTTTGAACGAGAACTGCATATAGAAAATTGAGAGTTACTGTTTCTAGAGATTGATGACCTCTTTCTCCAGTCAGGCTGGTACTGGTCTGAATAAATCCTAAATATGGTAGTCATGTCCGGTATGACGGTGGTCTTGCTTCGGCGAGAAAGCGCCAGTAGTTTAGCCGTTGGCGGATGGTTTCTTACACGGGAGCGCTTGAATGATGATGGTCGATTTTGTGTTTCATAATCGTCAATCTCATTAAGAACAATTTGACGTGCGTCTTTACCGTCAATGAAAGTCTCACTCCTCTCCAATGCCGGTGCGTTCGGAGAAAACATTGCCGGAAGTCGTAAGCCATTGTCGGACCAGGTCGCGAATAAATCTGGGTGCCCTTTCACATGATGACAAGACGGCGTCGTTGTCCGCTGATACATGGTTGATTCTCGCGAGAATGAGAATGTCAAGGGCGCAGGGGTCATTGGTGCAGCGCGCCGTGTAGCAAATCTACTTTGGATATCATGACTTCTGTGTGACCAATCAGATGCATTCAAAAATACTTCGTTATCACGGAGACTCGGGTTCGCGCCCCCTTTCTTGATGAGCACGTGTGCAGACACAAAATGTCCATTTTTGCAGGCTAGTAGCAATGCAGTATACCCCATGCTGTTCCTCGTGTCCACGTCTAAACCAAACCTTACAAAACAGTCCACTAGCTGCGTAACGATGTTTGGATTACCGCTAGATGCTCCGTGATGTAGAGGTGTATTACCATCGTTATCAGCCTCATTTATGTCCAGTACGTCTTCCCGAATTATCATTCGCACAATATCCTCCCGTCCGTTCATGCATGCATAACTGAGAGCTGTCCTTCCAAGATTGTCGCGAAGGTTCAGAAATGCTCCAGCTTTCAGCAAGATTTTCGCCATTCGATACCCGAACTCCTCCTCTATGATGCAGGCCAACATCATCGGTGTTCTACCATTTAAGTCCTTGCTGTCAACGTTGACGCCATGTTTTGATACCAGAAGGCGTACCTGATGTAGACGGCAGTCTATGACGGCTTGGTGTAGTGCCGTTTTGATTGGGCGACGCTGAAGCATCTGCGTTGAGTTGGGGGACACTGGGCAGGTCTGGGATTTGACCTCCGTTTCCGCCTGGAATATAACATAAGGAATAATTAGTTATCTTTGTAATTATATACAACACTTATATTTCAAGATAAGCACTGGAGGATTCCATTCTGAATTTAGTTCTAATTGCTATGATTGACAAGCTGGGTGTCGTGGATGAAACTTTTATATTTCTTCTTTCATTGCTAATGTCTTTCAATTTGTTAACATGTTGATATTCTGGTTGTTTTTATAGATTTGTAGTAAACAGTGTTAGAATCAGTGTTTAAAAACTTCAAAATACAGTCTTTTTAATGCATGTATTGCTATTTAATGTCTTGTAAAGAGATATCTAGATGTGTATTACTTCAAGGTAATTATGTTTAGCCTGAATAAATTACAATGTCTCGTGACGGGTATAATTAGAAGACATAAGTATTTCTGGAGCTACCCCCACGTTGTGTTCATGTATTTTCATTTTTAAGATTGGATAAAAAACGTATACTTATTAAATGTAATTATACAACAATTATATTTCAATTCATTCATAAGTCCGAGTACTCTGTCGGAGTGGCGTGACATAACTTTAACTGAAAACGAATTCTTGGTATTTATTTCTCTTAACTCAATCTATTAGGTAGCTCTAATACAACAGGGTATTGTTACCGGAATAAAGTTCAAAATGTCCAATCATCTTAACAAAGATTGATACGTGACAGCTCACTCCCAGCTTCTCTCTTACTTTAATAGCTGTCATAGGAAATTTAGCTCGTTCCTTTATATTTTGTTGACTATAAAATGAATACGCATTAATACAGAAATACAAATCTGTAACTAATTATATTATACCGACGTGACTCCATGTGTACATCATAACATCCCGATTCTCTTTAATATGACTTCACAATCTCCTTATCCCTACTATGCGAAACCTTAATCTGATGAATTATTTGCGCATGTCACAGAGTCAGGACCCCTCTTAAAATATAACCATACATACGCTATTTATCACGGTTATCTACATAGGAAGTATTTGATAAGAGAAACATCTCCATCCAGACACATTCATATTAACCCGTCGGATGTTACCATTCTTACACGTGTGACAAAATTATTGGCCACAAGCATGGGAACGGTGCATCTGTCGAAGTTAAATCATGGCACATAGAGACTAAGTATTGTAATTATCTGTTCGAGTCTGACCAAGACAACGTTTATCAGATCTGTATCTGCTGGGTTGTCTACCTCGATGGTATGTATGTCCTTAGTAAATCAGAGTATGTCTGACAAGGTGTGTCGAGATGAGCTCCCATACGGAACTCATTACTATGTATAGAGATATACACCTGTTACGTCATTAACAATTAGAGAAAACTCAATATTAGTTTTTAAAAAATTAGGAAAATTTAAACATAGAACGATGTTCCTCACATAGAATATAACACACAACTTAAGCTTCTAATCTTAAATAATATAAAAGGTAAATATAACATCAACATGACAACCATTACGTCCTAACATCACTAAAGCCTGTATTCTAATTTTTATCAATGAGAATATTGTTTATATTAGTCTCCTAATTAACTTACCTTTCCACATCCACAATGTAACATTTCAGCTTGACAATTAACTAATATACTGCACTCTTAATTTGATAAAATGACATTGTAATTTCTAAATCCTGAAAAAGTGATATCTAAGACTCTGTCAAACCACTAGCAGCATATTTTCTGACAAATCAATGCTCCAACATCAGCGATGCATTCGACTATAAATACACAATGGTCTCTCAACCAAACATCTACATTGTGTCGTTGCTTTCATCTTCACCAGAGAGCTGCTTCCGATCTAGAAAAGGTACAGTTATTGTGACCTACCTGTGGTTGGCGTTAAAGTCTATGGTATTTGAATGAGGATACCATGTCCTTTTCAGACTTAACGTTAAACTACACAGACAGCTACTGGCAGCAATGAATAATTGATAAAAGTAACCACTTATTTTGTATTCAGATGTATTCCACTTCAACCATTATTCTCTTTATAAATCAAACGTTGCCCATTTAGATTTGAATAATAATGCTGACTGGGTATTTTATTAGTCGATGCCGTGCTGTACCGAGGACAACTTGGAGAGATATCAACAAACCCTGAAACAATGACTGATGCCTCCACTGTCACCAAGGGGTTTGTCCTGATCCAGTAACCGTTTGTTTGTACCCCACACTGACGTTGTTACTAAGGTTAGAATAGATGGTGCCGTCCTTCAACAATACCAGGAACAATTGCAATGAATTGTAGCTACTATAAACGTGAACAAATAAATCCATATATCGGTATCACACCATTAGCATCACTGGCGAGTCCTAAAAGGACGGAACGACTGTATAAGGCAGTTTAATTCATTATTGTCAGGTAATCTATCCCAAACTGGGTTTGTATTGAAAAGAGCAATTTACACGTGTCTATTGTATAATCTATGTATTTTGCAGCATCATTAAAACCAATCAGAATTTCATTTGTACACATTTTAATGACAATTACACAGGAATAAAATTAGTATTCGTCAATAACAAAGCATCAGTGGTATAAAAAATAGTACATTTCATCACCTTTATCGCATTTTGTCTGATCAATGAAGGTGTATATAAACTTTTGTTTAAATACAGACGCAGAATAACATCACTGACATTAAAACTCACACCGATAACAATATGAACGTTTACATTGCAATATCAAGGACAGAGATCTCAAGTGACCAGTAAAACGCGACGAATAAAAAGAACAATCTTGCGTATTTTCAAGGAGGTCATTAAGATTAATGATTACAGTGTAAGAACAACTGTGATGTTGCCGTGGAAACAAAATTAAGGTAAGTGATTCTTGTTAAACGTCCCGTCGAATTTTATGGTATAAATAACAGCCTCTCGTAGAAGAGGTAAGGGGGGGACGGAATTGCATTACTTAGTGGATATCAATTACAAATTTATAGTAGTCTCAGTACAACATTCCCTATTCAAACCAATAATTACATTAACATAATGGAATTCAGATTTTGTGAACCCGAGCTACAAACTGATTTATACAAAAAGAAATTAATACCTCGAAAGAAACACTCAATCCATACTCAAGTGTATACCATTGGTAATGTGATTTAATACCGTAATCCTACTCCCTATAATATTATAACAGTCTACACTATACAGTAGCAAATGAGAATTCCTTGGTCTTACTTATTAACAATGTGTCAAAGACATAACCAGTACGGTTATATATCACTACATATATGGGTGTCTGACTTTGTAGGTACATGTATACTTTGTGTATTAAATATTATCAATTCTGTTCCTAAAAATTACAAGAAGATCATGATAGTGCAGTGTTGCCATACCTACACACAGTGAGCAGCAACAACATCATACTTATTGTCACTGATTTTTATTTGGTCGCTGGCTGGATTAACGCATCTTGTTTCATTTTAAGCAAAAGTTTATTGAATACCCTCCTCCGGCGATCCTCCTTCCCCCACCCTCAAAAGGCGGGAAAACAACAAAATATCTAATTGATAAATCAATCAATGAATTAATCAATTTTAATTAAGTATGATTCATACACACAAAAGAAAAATGAAAAGAAGCCATAAAAGATTGAGATGGAACACCATACACGTATGATATACACAGTGAAATCCTGATCTCCCTTACCAAATAACAGACATCATGTGTGCATGGACCCTGGCAATGTCTAGGGTTATTCTGAATGCCAAGAAATATTACTTATAAGTTATCTTTTCACAAACTCGTACTTTAAAACCTGTTCTATAGTGTTCTATTTTTTTAATGAAATGTAATTTATTTGCGTGTGTTGTAAGCCTGATCGTTATCCCACAAGTATCCTGTATTGTTTTATCGGATACAGAAGACAAAGACACCGACATGAACAAGTACGTTACCGTTTTTTGGGAGGATGCTTCACTTTGTCTCCTCTTGGCACTCGAGTACCTATAACTTACTGCCACATGAACACCTCCACCACCCTCCATTTTGTACAGGTGTCTTACGTTAATCAACAGGTGAGTCTTAAACGCACAGGTAAGTCAAAGTGAATCCAAACACGGAGTTTTAAATGTTAATACCGCAGGTAGCGTATGTGTCCATCATATAATGCATTATACATTAATTTTCACTAAATCCAAGATTTGAATCTATGACTTATATATATAGTTTCCCTCCTGAAGTATCGTATCCATAACAGGTGTGTGAGAATTAAGACGATATCACATATACTAGTGTATTAGGTTTTGTCTTAGACCACTGGCCTTGATACACATGGCCTAGCGACTGCAGGGGATACCCAATAGGGCTTACCCTAATCTTATCTAGCCACAAATTAACTGTCGGGAGTTCGATCTGATAAACAGACTTATTGTGCAGGTAATATGTATAGGGACACTTGTCTATACTCATGAATAATCATCATACTTTGGAAAGTATGTATTACGTGGTAACTTAAAAAGGCGTTTCAGCACGGTATAGAAAAAACAGGAATAAACGAACACCAGCCTTTAAGAAATCGATTTGACGCCGAGATATACAATCACTTATCAGCCCTAGTGTATGGCAGAATAAGACACTTATATCATCTATTCAGTTCACAATGGTAACTCCTTGTGAATGGGCTGATCAATAGGTACATGTTAATGGACCCTGTCATTAATTTTCTTTTTCCAATGTTATATATGAACAGGTCTATTTAATTTATAAAATCTAGGAAATTAATCAAAATCCATGGAGTCGAAGTCACGTGAATTAACAATTAAATGTCGTTTCATGTCGTTCTTTTTCCAATGTTATATATGAACAGGTCTATTTAATTTATAGAATCTAGGAAATTAATCAAAATCCATGGAGTCGAAGTCACGTGAATTAACAATTAAATGTGGTTTCATGTCGTTTTATTCGACAATTTCAATATTTAATTTTGTTCAAATTTTCCAATTTTATTCCTTATGGTAATTTTTTGCTGAAATGAAAGGCATCTTTTCGTCAGTTGTTCACCAAATACGTACATTAAATTTTGATTTGTAGTATCATTACTAGAATATCTATCTTCTTGTAAATAACATTTTTGAGATTATTTCTCAAAGTTCTGTAAAGATTCTTCATCATCTCAACATTTTAACTGTTACATTTCAAAACAAAATCCTGTGAGCTTTGTCTTGATACGATTAATGGCTGCTTTTTAGGTATCCTATTGCTATACAGTATAATATAAAATATGTTTACATAACATATGAACATATCATTATTCCTTTCACAACGATGCCTTATTCGCAATATCTTTCCTTGGACATCAATATCAATTGATTTGTTTGTTTTGTGGGGCTTAACATTCTTGCAAAAGCTAGGGTCATATGAGGACAGGAGTCAAGAGTAAAGGTCGGAAAACAGACCACAGAAAAATCACGATGGGAAAGAAAGGAGAAACTTAAGATCCCAAGTGTTGCAAAGGGGGCGCTAGGTCTATATATTGGTCTTCTCAAAGCTCCATTGATAAAAGATACGGAGGGAAACCCCTTCGAACCTCTGGTCATCTCTTACAATCAGATAGTGGAGTACATTAGACCGTATTCTTTGTCTCTCCGGTGTCTAATTAACAGACGGGCTAGAAGAAATCACTGTGGACTTGCAGGAAGTTAGATACAGCAGGGATATGTTTCCAGTCTCCTTTACAGTTCATAATGACACATATTGAAACATTTCGTTCTTGTATTTGAATACTTGTGCAGTTGGTTTGTGCCATTGACCTCGGATAATGGTACAAGTTCAGTTACAAACGAATATATTAGTTTGAAAAGTTTTAAGAGAATGTCTAACTGAACTCTAATTCCTACTTAGCTGAGTTTTTTTTTTTTTTTTTTTTGACATGCTTGTTTATCTGGTACAACATTACCCCTAGTTTTTACATGTGTCCATCGTTAAATACGCTTGTTGCGTCCGTATTTTTACGTTTTTATCTTGTCCTAAGAGATGTACATGTGATCAGTATCAAGGTCTCATTAAGCTATAAGATATGAAAAAATAGGTGTATGAACTGTTGATGACCTTATTATTACTATTTTTGCCGATATGAAAATATTTGCCGCAAACATGAAAATCATTTACACAGCATATATATTTAATGATCATAAGTTACTTATTAGGAGCAGGACATTTTGATAAAAACAGGCAAAACTGAATAATGAGTATTAGATTGGAAATTAAACGCTAAAACAAACTTGTCGGAAATATGTATATGGAGTTAGTGACAACGAACACAATTGATTGTAGCTTCACAGTAAAAGTGTAAACATTATTATTGAGAGCAAATGTTAGTTTTACTGATTTGACAAAGAGAAACTGTTATTTCAGTGAATGTTTATCGAAGGTATTTGCATCTTCAATCATTGATTTCTATGCTATTTCTGTCCACACTTCTATTTATTTACAACTTGGTATAGTCCGTTAATTGATATTCCATCTTTGTGTAAATAATGTTGACAATGTATACTCGATGCATTGTAAGTGTGTTTAGAGAAATCAATATTTGATTAGTACTAGTATTTGACAAACCGCAGTCACTGTCTTTTGATGTAGGTTTTTGTACTGACTGATACTTAAGGGTGACTGGTCATATTATCTATAGTTATACCGTGGTTGTTTCTAGTCAACCGTTAATACACAATGAGGCACTGGAACTCGAACAATCAAGTTACATATTGTAGAGGACCTACCTACACGTTATCATAAAACAGGTTACTTTAACAGATGGTCACAGTATTCGATGTATATAGATGTAAGTCTCTGAAGACATTTACTGACTACCTATCACCTGCTTAGCCAGCTAATCGGGAAAAAATATCGATATACAAGTAAAGATAAATGTATGCACACAAGTGCCAACTACGTTTTGTGATCATTGGTAACAAACCATACCAAGAGCTTAGTATAAGACGTTAATATGATTAAAATCAGTATTCAGAGGTTACTGGTCGTATTTCAAAATATGCGTATGCATATATGTATGTAGGTATGTATTCATGTATGTATGTATGTAGGGAGGGAGGGAGGGAGATAGGGAGGAATGTAGTTATGTAGGTAGTGCTAGATCCGAACATTTACAGGAACCTATCTGTATCAGGTCAGTCTTCAGGTAATAGATCCAAACATATATAGGGACGTACCTGTATCAAGACAGTCTTCAGGTGATAGATCCAAACATATATAGGACGTAACTCTATCAAGACAGTCTTCAGGTGATAGATCCAAACATATATACGGACGTACCTGTATCAAGACAGTCTTCAGGTGATAGATCCGAACTTATAAACAAGTATTTAATTACATTGCTGTATATGTAGTTTGTCTTTACAAAATATGAAGCCGTATCGAGATATCTTAATGACTTTATAGAGGCAGGTAATCTCATTATCAACAATAACAGGTGTATGACATCTCATGTTACCAGCAAACTTGTCGTACGTTGATATATTGATATTGTTATATTAGCATAATCATACTAATGACTAATCCATCGATCACCCAGGAAAATTACCAATCTATATCTACCTTTACCCCAATCACTGATATCCACTACATTACCGTTATGTGAATACCCTACTGATCTACTCTAACGGAATTTTTTATACAATAGATATCTTAATATTGTGTCTCCTTTAAGATAAAAATATCCAGCTATTATTTTCTGATATACTGTATAAGATCTGTTACACAATTTAGCATACAATTTTTCTGACCTAAAAAGATAGGAATTTTATCCTCATTTCTTGTTCAAACATTCTAGAGTGCGTTAATGCAAAATACAAATCCTGAATTTCAAAGTCAAAATTGTTTGGCTGACAACGTGAATTGACACCAAAGAACAACATCATATATTACATGTGATAACCAAAGAAATAAAAAACAAAAACAAAAAGACAAGAATTGAAGCTTGTCTCTCGTATTTACAGATAATGTAAGAAAGCAACACACAGTTGGTAATGATATCAACCATAAGCACAAAAATGCTTCAAACATGAATTATAATTATTATGTATTTGCACATCTATATATCAATCAACAACGCCACACTATTAAATATGGCTAAGATTTGCGGATGTAACCCGTATAACATGTTCAGGGCGAAATTCTGTTTCTAGTACAATCTATTAAACAGATTTGAGAAAAGCCAGTTTTTCTACACGCACGTTATATATGAAGAAGATTTCAAATCAATCCTACCCCGTCTTATATCAGATTGTGTGTCCCTGTTCTGTTGTTGTATATAACACTTACCCACAAGAACGATCAAATTACAAATGCTAATATTTTACCGTAAAGTGGAAGCTGTTTTCCTGCTTCAGCTTTATGTCTTCTCTTATAGGAACAGTTTTCTTGGTTCCTTTCTTGGAGTTTTTCATGTTGTGGTCTCAATAAACGAACTATTTGATTGAAACTAGCGGCGTTAAATGCATCAGGAATGTTTAGATATAGTACTAAATATACAAAAGAAACATTGTACTATTTGTTTGTAATTTATCAATGTGCCAATTGTGCCAAACCTCATATCTATAACACACAACAACCTTGTAAAACAATAACATAAATATCAGAATCTATACAAACCGAACAATAAGTCATATACATGCATAGCCAAAACAATACTGTATGGAGTTAGACCTATATCCTAAACAATGAGGAAGCAGTAATATCAGTAACTCACCTCGATATGGGCGAGGGAACTCCCCCCTTTATCTGATGTGGTATCCAGTTTGGCTGTATTTCTGAACCACCGACTTCTATAAGTTAGTAATAAGTGTCACAACTTAAATCCAGCCAGATAGGCTTGTCCACGAGAGATACTTAAACGTCTGACATTGGTTCCTGTATGTACAGATATTACAAACAAGAAGTGTTGATATACGGAACACTTGGAAGGCACGTGTGAGTGATCACACTCAAAGTTAGTCAGATTTACTACCTACAAATTAACACGACTCTTGTC